GCAACTCGATGAGTTTATTAAGAAATCTCAATTACAAACAAAATCACCAAATCATGCCTATTTGGAATGGATTCCATTCGATTGTATGAATGGTTGGAGACATGAATACTTGGATGGTCTACCTACTTATGAACAGGTTACATTGACTCCGCTTGAAATAACAGATGAGACAGATTGTGACAAGGTAAACTATTTACTTATGCGTCATGTTTATTGAATAGTTTAAATGATTATTGACTTATTATCACGCATAGTTATGTGATGAGTGTCCAGATATGCTTACCACGGATGTTTGGGTTACCATCGGATTCACATATGATGCAATTAAACAAAAGTATTATCTAGTAAAAGAAGAGTATGGGCATGGACTATGTCTGGCATGTACGGAGCAATTAAACCCCAAGATAAATGCATTCTGTTTCAAATGTAAAGCACCAAGACCTGTTGATTGGACGACTGGTAACAGAGTCGTGGAGTAATACGAGGCATGAAAATGATGCCTATATACAATGGATAGAGTATTCTCAATTGATCAACGTACGAGAAATGACCTCATTACACCGTGGAAGCACACATGACAACAAATGAATTGACACGAGTGGCACTCAAGCAGATAAGATATACTCAGTCACCTTGATTTTGATCAGGTAAATTATTTCACGTGTAAAATAATGCAAATAGTATCAAGTATGAATTATTGATTGTTGTAATGATTTATTTGTTTACCCAAATAGCTAACTAAGGAATACCCGGAGATATTAACTCCCGAGAATATTTGGATAGTTGGGAGCCATCTACTCGGGAATATTATTACATGCAATATTGGATAGATTTATACAAAATAATGAACGTGTAATGTACATGCAATATAGCGACTGTTACGAACTCAAAAGATCGGATCTGGTGGTTACGGGACAGTATATATTGCCAAGTATAAAGGGACTGCCAAATATAGAAGATTCGCGTATCGCAGTCGAAGACGATATTCCAGAAACTGTTGTGCTCAAACGATTTAAGAGTTTTGATGAAACGCCGGAATTATTTATTTCCGAGGTAAGCAATAATTGGTAGTATTAATTAAGTGATGATTAATTTGACACTGTATTTGTTTTTATTTAGTAGTTCAGAAATCATGCCAAGTGCATAAGCAGTATTTCTTTCCTTACATTTATGGAGTGACACAAGACCCAGAAACAAAAGAATACATGATTGTTATGCAATATGCTAACAATAGTAGTCTTTTTGTCTTATTTAGATCAAAATATTAACAAATTGACGTGCGTGAAGAATGAAATTATTGATATAAATAAATGTATTTTATTAACAAGTCGATATAACGGATTGATCGTTTAGCTAATATTGATTATACAAGATATTATTTAGTAAAAACTTCAGTATCTTCATTTTGTGTATGCATACCGCTTTTTGCGCGACAATTTTTCAACCGCTTGATATCGGGGGCATCACTCTCTTAACTCTGCGGGCATTAATTGCAAAAGTAAGTAGAATGAGAAAAACTTCCCGACGGTCCGTTATATCGACTTTTACTGTGTATATATTTTTGGATGTTCTTTTGGTTATTGGACTTTTTCCGGCACTAAGATCACTATCTCCTTCTTCAGTCTTATGGAGAATCCATATACACGTACTAGTACTGTAAGTGCAATTGCCGTCTAAAGAATAACTTGTTATTTGTAATGGGTGAATAAGCACGTAGACATCTACTAGGAGTTGCTACGCGTAAAAGAATTGGAGCTTTTTCCAATAAAAGTATTTGTTTCCTTTCGCATAGCATATACCTCCAGCACGTCTGAATTAATTATGATGTAATTTATCATAATTTTGTTTACTATTACGCGCAATATGTAATTGATTGGTTATATCAAAGGAATCTTTAGAAAATCGGGATAACTATTTATGATCTGCATTTATAGGTGGGGTTTGGCAGCTGGTTTCTAGATATCGGGTCTTTGTGATTCTTGCGAACCCTTCTTCACCCCTTAATTTGCAAACTTTAGAGATATAATAAGAATACCATATACCAACGTTCTTCTTCTCTGATGTCGTAGTTTTTTTATACGAAGCGGTAACTACGATAATTGTTCAATGAAAAGTTTAAGTGTTAGAGAATATAAATCACTATAAAGCGACAGGAAAACATAACGTAGTAACTTTAATGTCTCCAATAGTATGAGTTGCTTGCTTTTTGAGGAGGTCCCAAAACTTCACGTTCACAATTGCCTGGCTGTCTAATAGTCATAGGATATTTGATGTGGGTCTTAAACTTCCTGATGAAAAATATATACCAAGATTGGTCAGTATTTACTATTACTTGAAAGAGAAATTAGATGTTGAATTAAAAATGACTTTAAAGTACCCAGACAAACAATAATTTCCGCTGGATAATGAAATCTTTCGGATAAATTGTCCAATCGACGCATCTTAAATTCTTGCGATAGTATTTCAACGATCAGCTGACCAATCTAAAAATGGAGTAATTCTACATTTTTGTTACGGTTTGGGCCAATTACCAAAGTTGACGACTTTATTAACAATGACCTTGGCTAGCCAAGTAGATACCTCTCGTGATAATGAACTGAGCTTTCACAAAGTCTGTGCCAATGGGTTCCTCATAAGCTTTTGGATAAGAGGCTACGAATATAGGCGAAGATGAAACATGGATATAAGATTTGCAGACCACAAATTGTGAGAACCATAATTGCAAACACGGGGCATTGTTAGCTATTGCCAAATAAGGCATTAATTAGGGTAGCAATAAAAATAGCAACGTAAAATTTGTATTGCAACAGTAAACATTGCGTCAGAATCCCGAGGCTCCGCTAATTGATACGCTTAATAGTATCCGAACCGTTCTAATTTTCGTATTTGTATTGACATTTTTAACATGCCATGAGCAATTTAAATATGAAATACTGCTTTACCATATATGGTATCACCCCTTCCAAATAGTTAGTATACATGTCGAGCAACGACAATGTTCTAAAATGGGAGTGCCACGTTTTTATACTACTGTGCGATTGATTTCTAGATTTCCATTGTAACAGGCAGCAATGCAAAATGAGGTTTAAGTATGCGTTTATTAACCAATTGAGAATAAATTTTACTCTGTCAGGAAATAATAATGATGCTCATACGACTATTCTAACTATAGTGAAAGTTGGCTTCTGTGGCGTCAAATGATACATACACAAGAAATCACCATTACTGGAGGAATGCACGATGTACGAATTATTGTTGTTATTCTTGTGAACTGTCAGTTGGTTTGCCAGTTCCTACTGTGTAAGCCCGTCTTCTTCATAGACTATGGGTCTGGTATCTTGGATGTCTTGTCATTATTTTTGTTACCTGCACAAATATTAGCATGTTTGCGATATGATTTACCTTGTCATATTAATGATATACGGCGATGTCACATTTGATGCGTAGTTTGATTTGACACTTGACATTTTCCCTCGACCAAGCATGCTCTCATCAACTACCTCCACAGGCAAAATCGCTAAAATTAGCAATCACTGTACTGGTGAGAACAATCCTATGTCTTCCAACGTAGAGAGGTACTATAATTAGTAATTGTTGGTGATTTCTGGGGGTAAAGCCTGTGATCAACAGTACAGTTTATGTTATAGTTTCTACCACAACCTTGTACAAAAAATCTTTCCCGAATGGTAATATTAGCAGCAGTAACTCCAACAGCGTTTACATTTACTCGTGGTGTTTGCCCATTCTTGGATGTCATTCTAATGATATTCTACATTTTACATTATAATAGCTATCTCGCTACTTATTTTTTAGAACGCAACAAAAGCCGATAATATTTGGTGTATTTAACAAGGTGTTGTATAAGTTTATCCTAATGGACTTGTATAACGTCAATTTCTGCTATACATCTTTATCGTTTTTCGCAAGTCCGTTATCTTACTTGATTTAGGTCTGAGGCGATATTGAGTATCATATGTCGTTTCGTTATCTGCGTTACGCCCGCGTTAATAAAGACAGTCCACAACGTCTAATTGGACGTTTTAGCAGCTTCTCTTTTAAATAGCAAGTGTTTAATGTAAAGTTTTCGATACACCTCGTAAATGTAAAAAATTAATGTTCATAAAATTAGCATGGGTGTTTTGTCCACATCCACATGCTTTAATCGTCTGTCGGGCGATACAACCATGCCATGCTTGCGATACCAACAAGATAACTGATAATATTAATCAGACATGCAACGAGACCGGTTGTAGCTAACAGCTCGGCGTAATTGTCTTCATCGTTGACTACATCTTTCCAGGTTACAATCCAAAGCTCAATGCCAATTATGAGACTATAAAGTACATAATAGAAACCTTGCTTTAACCATACGAGATCGATCCTAATCCCCGGCCGATCTACAGTCGCATCAAATGGATCAGAGTCAGGCCATATTGAATTGACCAAAGTGAGGTAATATTCTTTTCCTGTTTGTAAATATGCATATGATGTAAATACAGGCTTGACCAAGTTTGACTGTTATTTATATTGCTGACGATACTGTTACCTAAAAATATTCCCAGCGAATTGATTATAGTAAATGTTGCCGAATAGTTTCTAGCTGTAATACATACGGCCAATAGACGTAATGCGGCCTCTATTATACACCAGGCAATTAGAGCTGGACGCCCTTTTGTTTGGGCGTCCTGTCAATGGAAATTAATGCATGTTAGCATCGGAAACATAGTGTGTTAATATTACATCATCGACAGTCAATTGTACGTTTCCGGACTACACTTACTTTAACCAGTAAAATTAATATTATCATTACGGCTGACATTAATACAGCATTGACAATAAGAACTGAATAAACACTTGTGAGAACCCATGGCGAGACATAATCTGTGTATCTACTATTATTATCGCCATTTGATTTTCCTGTTTCCGTAGTAGCAATAACTGCTTCTGTTAGTGGGAGAACATTATTCTCGCTTGATTTTACGTCAATGAATACGTGGGAGAAATTAATTTCTTCAAGTGTTGGCGGACTAAGTGAGGCCCCATATTCAGGAGGTGGTGTTATAGGGCGTTGCTGGGTGTTCGTCATGTATTGAAAGACAAGTAGGGGGAAATCGAGCAGGGAAAAACCACACCTGGTTATTTATAAACGCCATGTTATATATACTATTGACGAATCAGCTGTTTGGAACCTTTTGTTATGACAAACTCTGTTTCCCATGCCCTGTAAAACATGTTATTTTGGCATATATAGTAAACCCTCCATCGCATGCATGCACGGATTAACGTTTTATTAATAACACGTGACTGATTAATAACATAATTTTAATGAGAAACCTGCCGCGCAATTTACCAAATATATTATTTGGGCCATATACGAAGTTTTTTTTTTGTTGATCACATTCAATAAATCATACTTTAAAAATTGCACTATAAAAAATAAAAAGAAAGTTTACATAGCGTTTATTGCCACTTCGAACAAGCTGTTAGGGTTTTTAAACGAAGCAAGCGACACTCGTAAAACTGTACCTATACATACTTCAACGACGACTCAATAAAGAAATAGAGCCACTATTTTGTTATAGAAATATTGCTAAAAATAGTTTTACATATGCAAACTCATGGTTTTGCAAAAAAGTGGCACTATTTTTTATAGTGTCATCGTTGGTAATAGCTTCGTTGGCGATGAAGTTTGGTATGTTTTACTATTGAAGTGATCGGTAAACAATCGGCAAAAAAAAAAACACTTTGTATATGATTTTCATATGAGGCTTGTGGCATTACAGATATCTATTAATAAGTAGATTATCCAAAAGACTGTGTCATCTGTATAAAAGCATTGTACAGTTATAATATGTTTAACGCCATAGCTTAGTTAACTAATAATAAAGTTTCTCTTTTGGATATGATCATGCATTGAAAATGGCAAATTGTAATTGTCAGTGCTAAGACAATGTATAACAGTAACGCAGCACAGTTTATAAGCGAGATTAATCATGGTGTAGCGATTTTTTGTTCAGTTTCAAGAATAACTTTGACTGAAATTCGTGAGCTACAGGGTGGATGAAATTGATAATGAAAATGCTATGAGAAAAGAGGAATCATTGTTCGGTATTAGTCTGTAGAGTGGTACAAAATCGTTATCCAACACTGCTTTATATGTTCGATAGTTTGCAAGTGAGCCTCGGGAAGAAGTCACGTTGTTGGGGGAATATATGAAAAATATTGGGAAAAGCTGGAAACACTGTATATGTTTAGCAATAAAAAAGCTTATCTATTTTGATATGGAATGGGATAGACACATGTGCTTTAGCAATATACAGCAAACTAATATATTTACGTAAATATCTACGGCAACTTGTATTATATATAATTGTTAACAATGCTTCGGTAACAACACAGTATTTAGAATGTCAGGCCGAATATAAAAAAATATTACCATAGTCACGTGTTTATGGGTATGTTAGTGAATGACTAACAATTGATGTGAACGCGATGGGCTAACACCGAGGGTTCATGCTCGGCATCGCTTCATTATGGGCAATGTGTAGTTAACGATTA